TTGATTGTACAAAAATTATTGTTGGATTGAAATGTTTCACAAGAATTACTGTTCATTTTGCTGCTGCATTATATCCAGTAGCCTACAGTTCACAAATAAAGTTCAGGCTACAGGTATACAGGTATTAGTTCATAATTAAGTAATACTGTATATAGTTGTTTGTCTTTTCATATTATAGCCTATATGTCTGAGCCACTTTGAAAATCTGAAAGATACAGCACATCAAGCCTATATAAAAACCTTTCCTATTCAGAAGCAATTCATTTTCAGAACATATGTCCTGTAACAAAGTAAATGCGGTCATCAGTAATATAATGTCAATTCGAACACAATTCAAAATTCGCACAAGATAAGGCATTACAGGGATGGGTGTGTCTGCCTTTAGCCATCGCCTTCACGCTGAACAGCCTACCAATCAAAAATGCATTTGTGTAAATAATTAGTTATGCTGTATTAAAGATGTATTAAACATGAGCATATATCAAAATACAACAGCGAATTTGTAATTCTATATTTGACAATATGAAAAAGAATCTGAAAGCGGCAGATTCCCTAGCTTTTACTGACATATCAATTTGCACTACTGGGTTTATTTTACAAGCCATTTTAAACAGTACACTGTAAAAAATAAGTGTAATTTTAACTGTAAAATTTTGTAAAAACGCTACGGAAAAAAACTGTTAATAGGTTAACAGTAAGTTCCCGTACTATATACAGGGAAAAACTGTAAAATATCTAACCAGACATTTCATGTAATTTTACAGCATTTTACTGTAAAATTACATTTCATGTAATTTTACAGTAAAATGCTGTTAATTTTACAGTTTTTAGAAGTAAAAATAACAAATAAACAAAAAACCTGTAAACTGATATTCCCAGAATTCCCTGCATGACACTCCACATTTGAAAATATTAGTTAAGTATAAATCATCTTTCATAATTAAACTGGGCTCATTGCTTGGTTGCACCACAATATGTGTTATTAGCCTGTCCTTTTGGCAGTACTTTAGATTAATCTTGTTGATGTTTGAAAGGCATGGTCAGCGGTTTGCCTTCTGGACTGAAACTGCTCCTGCACTTACAAACTCTACTGTATAAACTGCATGCGGGTGCTACTCGTGTATGGACCACTGTATAATGGCTTGCTGTTCAGTAGTGCTATAATAGTATACTTAAATTAACTGTTTTTTTATAGGCCATCATATATGCCCTGGCTGTCCTAAGGAATTTCTCATTGCAGGAGGCTGAGCAGGTCTTCCTTTCTGGTCCGGATTATCATTACAGGTCAGAGTAGAATATGAATTATTTTTGCACAATGCCCAGTGCACTCATTTGAAAGTATTACAACTGATCTTAAACTAGCTCACAGCAAAATTAATATTAACCTCACAGGAAACACTCAAAACAACACTCAACCACTCCTAACCACTCACAAGATGTAGTAAGATACTGTCCAGATCTTAAATAAACAATGTCAATATAATCCATTATAAATTAAGTGGATTTATTATGGTATTAATTGTGTGTTATACGTAATCATACTCTTAAAAGTTATAACCACAAATGCGTATTATAATGTATTATAAAAGTTATGATTATTTATGAGATGATACAACATATTATTAAGCTTTTTTATAATGCTTTATGCATTAATTATAATGCCTTAAGAAAACCCTTATAATGTATTATAAATACAGGCTTCATAGAAAGTGTTACCGGATTGACAAACAATTGAG